ATTCATATGAGTGAGCACAAGGAAGATCATGCAGTAACTCAAAGAATCCTCAGAAATAACAGGTCCTCATTATTTAAGCCACTAAGTATTGGTAGAGTTTGTTAATAGAGAAATCTGTACTAGAAGTCCTACCTTACAGAAACTTAGATAGGTGGCATTGATTTGGGGGACTGGCAAGCAGGTAGTAGCTGGAAAAAAGGAAATAAGTCTATTGGTATAGATGGGAATATGGAAAAGGAAATACTGGAGTCTGCAGAGAAAGGCTGGCCTGAGTTATATAGTACAGAACAATTGAAAAATTATCACCTGTGGTAATTATAAAGGCAGGAAATATACCTCCCCCCAAAATGTGATTTCTTTTTTCTTCATATTATAACTAGGACAGAATGTTGGAAGTGACAATTGGCTTGTCTAAGCCAAATATGGCTAGGATACGAGAAGAAAGAGTTGACCAAAGAAGAAAAACATGAGCCAAAGAAGGAATTATTTTGTGTGCAAGATGAATTTAGAGAAAAAGATAAAAGGTCCAAGACAGATTGAGCTGGAAAACAGTCTCTTAGTCTCAATTTTTCCAGTTGGTAAAAATTCTTGAATTAAAATAATTCTTGGAACCAAATACTGAGCAAGAGTGTATTAAGAGCTGAGCTCAGCTAGAGAAAGCTGAGCTGCCTGGGGTTAGAGTAGTCAATTAAGACAACAAGTTAAAATTAAAGTAACAGTTCCTAGTGTTTTATTTCATGTGAGAAATCAGTAGAGGGAGCCCTCCAAAAAAGGCCCCTACCGTTTTATGAATCTGGGGTAGAATGGATGGGGAGAGGAGAAGAAGAAGACATAAGAATTGGAAAGTATTTTGTCCTAAGGGTGGAGAAAATTGCCTTCAAGGTACCACCAAAAAGAGGTCTCAGTGGAGATGAAGGCCCCTGATAAAGAATCACCTGGGCTAAGAAGAGAGCCATGTTAAGAGCATGGGTCATCAAGGGCTAAATCCTTGACTACAGCTCCCTCCAGAGACTGCAGTGCATTGACTTTGCTCCAAGTCTGGTGTAAGAGACCAGCTTTATACCTGCCAGGTAAAGCCTTTGCAATTTTTTATTGAGAGGCCTGAATGATCACACAAGGGATTTTGGCCAGGAGCTTGGATGCATAGGGATAAAGCTATATGCCTTTTTTGTAACATCTGCAACATTTATGGTAGTGCCTATAGACCCTCTTATCACCTCTAAGTTACACAAATCTTCAAGAAATTGTCCCACAGCAGCTTCAAATACAGAGCAAAGCAAAGATATGCTTGTCTCAAATAGAGTTGTGGATGTGACTTTTGCAACATGAAATGAAGCTCAATCAGATTCATAGACAATACACACAAATTTAATAGAGGGATACTGAAAAAAAAATATCCTGAGTTGCAGTAAGTGGTTTAGAGGTAAAAAAATAATATGAAACATATGGATACCCCATTTTTTTATGGGTAGAAAACAGGCAGAGTGAACTACATAGTTGATAACACAAGAGGTTTCTTAATTAAAAGGAAAGACATTTCAGATGACAGAGCTAAGATTTAGTCCCAGGAACAGAAACAGGCTGTTCTCTGCCCTGACAGTAGGGGGACTAGACATTGTATAAGTTCCAGAACCCAGACCTGTAGAAATCTTGCAGCTTCACTTTTGTACTCTTAAAAAGTGAATACAATTTAAGAATCATTCTGATTTAATCTTGGCCTTTGTTGTGGTTTAAATGTTTGTGTTTCCCCAAAACTTCAGAAGTTGAGCTTAACCCTGAAGGTGATGGAATTAAGGTGCGAGCTTTGGGAAGTGATTAAGTATAAGGACTCTGCCCTGATAAATGGGGTTAGTGCCCTTAAAGAGCCTTCAGGGAGGCTGGTTGTCTCTTTTTCTATCATCTTAGGATGCAATGGGCCCTCTGTAGATATCAAATTTGCTGTAGCCTTGATATTCAACTTTCCAAGCCTTCATAACTATGAACAATACATTTCTGTCATTTTTAAATTATCCAGATTAAGGTATTTTGTTAAAGCAACCTAGACAGAAAAAGACAGAAATCACATAGATGCACCTTAATTTTCACCTTATTTTCGATTTGCAGATGAATATTTTAAATATATTTGCATATGTTTTGCTAACTTCTTTTAAATACTTTTTAAAACAATGCAGAATTGCTTCTCGGCCTTTTGGCTAAGATCAAGTGTAAAACACGGCAGAGAAAAAAAAACAAATACATAGATAAGCAAATATATGTCCCATAGACTTGCAGAAATAATTTTTCAAGAGAAAAGAAAACATAAAGGGATAACTAAAGTAAAATTATGTGAGATAAAGTGAAAAAAAAAATACTGGTGGAATCATAAAATTGAACCAGGAATAAGACACTTAAAAATTTCTTACTTTAAAGACTTGCTACTGGTAGACTGCAAATCTAGCTCTAAGCTTTTAACAGTTGGTGGGAAAATAGAATTCTGGTCAGTTACACAATTTACAAGTTATATAAGATAAAATCAAAACAGTTGTTAGGAGAAGCAAAATTATTGCTACTACTAATACCCGACAGAAATTTCTCCCTATGGTCCTCATAAAACCAGCACCATGTAATGTACTGGCTTATATCCTCAACCACACTCTTAGAGTAGACAAAGTGACAAGTTTCATAGTGTTGTTGACATGGCTCTAAAACAACATTTCAGTAAAGGCAACTCTATAGGAGTCAATACAACACCTTCCAGGTATGCAGCTGTCTTCTGAATCCATCATATCCAGGGGTAGATTTAAAAGCATCTGGAACAATGGATAGATTTCATCTTTTATTCAATCCTTTCTATATATTCTTTCTGTCTGCAGAACTTTTGATGAACATTAGGAATCAATGAGTTTGTAATTATATGTTTTAGCAAGCATTCAATGCAGACTAGTTATTGTCCTGGTCAAACAGACCTACACATTTCACCTGATAGTTGATCTGGTGGAGGGTTTTTCATGTCTTAAGAAAATAAAATAAAGAATCAAAGGAAAAATCTACACCTAAATAAAAGTCCAATTTTTCTCAAATATTAACTCAGGGACTAGTCCAGTCCAAACACTCAGAAAGTCTGTCTCAAACATATACAACTGAAGCCATGAACTGTATAGAAATGTCATAGGTCATGTAATAAGGCTTAGCTTCCAGATAAAGCCTCCTAATTAGACACTCAAAGAATGATGAAAATTTTAGCTCTTCTATTAAATTAAATTTTGAATTTTTGTTCAATCCAAATCCCACTAAAAACAATGTTTTAATAACATTTAATAATGTTTTCTGAAAGAAAACATTAAAGATGACTTGATCCAACAACCCAACATGGTATATAACATGGTATTTAATAGATAATAAACTTGCATCTCAAAGAAGGGCAAGAAGTAAAATCACTCTCACAAAATCTGAAAAGTTACACAGCTAACAAACAAACACACACACCCAGTTCTTTTTTTCATGCCATTCATTGACGACTCCTCAATCTATGGGAAAAAAAAATGGACAAATGGTCTCAACAATCTCAAGGAAACCCTGTGCTCACTTCCTCTCATTTGTTATAATTCTTCTTGAAAACTGGAATTCAAGGAAAGAACTTTAATATCTCAATTCATGTTTTTCCTTGCTTTCTTTTCAAGGCTAATATAGTATCACATTGAAGTCAATATGATTTTCATGGCTTACTCTGGAGTAAACAAATCATTGCAATTACCATATTGCCATAAAGAGACATAATTATCTTATAAATGCATCCTTTGATTAACAGAGGGGGAAAATAACTGATCCTCAAGGCTAGCAATATATTATTGCAGTGACATACCAAGACAAGATGTGGAAGACCAGAAATTATTTGATTAGCTGCTCTACTGTGAGTACTCAAACCTATGAGCGCTACCCAATCAAGCCACTGTGGCTTGAGCTGTAAGTCTTTCTGCAGTCCTCTGGGTCACTCTGTAACAAGAGCTACTACTTTGCCATCACGGTCACATCACATACTCAGTCTCTGAAGCTCTGCTCGTAGTTTCATTCTGCTCTATGTCTCCCCTAGGAGCACCTTCATTTTAATATAAATAGAGTGTTTCATCATGCGATGGCAAAGAATCATGGAAGGTATGACTCTCAATATTACTGGACACAATACACACAGATGAATTCCAAAAGAGGTCTAAAAAGGCAAAAAGAAAACAACAAATTTATTAAAAATGCATTAGTATTATATATCTAAGTATAATGCAAGCCAAATGTCTGTAATAGCCAAGAGTAAAAACTAAACTGCAGATGAGGAAACAATTTTGTGTTTGTGGATACTTCCAGGACATAAAGTAGCAGTTATCTAACAGATCCTATATCTCTTATTCATGTTTTAAAAAATCAGATTACCTTCATGCTTACCTGAAATGAGGTGGTTTTAGATCCCTAGTAACTGTTTAATGCAATAGTATGTCCTTGAATTTAGGACAGTTAAAAATATTTTCTGAGACATAACAAGAAGGGTGATTCAGGTTTGCGTCATCCCTATTGATCTTCTATCCCTATTGGAGGTAGGATAGAAGTAGTCATAAATGAAGATAACCACAACAGCATTTTCGTGCCTACAAATACGTCCTTCATAAGACCTTCCAGGGGTGTCATCAACCTTCCTATAACTTCTAGTGGTCTCTTGGGTAAGTTCTTTACCCAAAGTTATTCTCTCCCCACCTTCTCCATGGCCTAGTACTGCTCTAGTCACAGAACCCAGCCCTCACTGGAGGGAAGCTACCCATCACCAATATGAAAAGGTGACCTGTTACTGTACCTGTCCCCTCTCTTCCCCATTAACACTCCTCAGTGTCAACATGTCTTTGAAAGATGATTGATTAGTTGAAATTACTTAGTAGAATCCAACAACATGAACCCATTGCTTTATTTTTATTTGTAGGACACCACCAGCACCCTCCAAAAGAAAAAATATAGATATCCTCTGTTTTTTTTTTCCACAGAGCTAAGTTCTAGAAGATGGAAGTATATGCAAGACCATCAGACTCAAAAACCTTTCTTTACAGAAACTATAAGTCAGCATCCAAGAAGGTAAGCCAGGCAAATACCTTAATTATCTCCTTTACAGGCACCTTGACATCTACCTGCAGGTTTTCCTCTATCCTTGCCCCAAAGTTGAACACTCTAAATTTTGGGGTTTAGGTATTTTTTAAAATTCATTTTTACTGTTTGTTTTCTGGTTAAAAATATCAAATTGAGTCCCAATGTCCTCCTCTCATTTTACCCAACTGGAAAGTTGGTGACATGTAACAATGATAAATGGTTCTCAAGGCTGGTGTACCTCTTAGGCTTCCTCTAGAGGTGTGACACATATGTTAGTTGTCTTTCAAACTAAATTATAGTTGTTTTATTAGTTAATATCTCTGTTGTCCAATGCATTTATAATACAAAATTATGATTACCATCCCCAACACATATTTTATACATGCACACTTCAAAATCACATATGATACTTTCTTCTTAGTGGCTCATGGAACCTTCTCCAAAATAAACCATATTATATCATATCTTAAACAACAAAGTAATTCTTAGCAAATACAAAAACAAAAACAAAAAAAAAAACCTGGTATAACTCCTTGCATATTATCAGAACATAATGGAATGAAATTAGAAATCAACAAAACAAAACACTACAGAAACTATATAAACACATGGAGATTGAACAATAGTCTTTTGAATGATGAATGAGTGATTGAAGAAATCAAGGGAGAAATTTAAAATTCTTAGACTCAAATGAGAACAGTGATATATAACATACCAGAACATCTGGGACCTTATGAAGGTAGTTCTAAAAGGAAAGTTTATAGCTATAAGTGCCTACATAAGGAAATCAGATAGATTCCAAATAAATGACTGAATGTTGTATCTCTAAGTGCTTGAAAAAGAAGAAAACAACAATTCCCAAGCCAGTAGAAGAAAGGAAATATTTAAGATCAGGGCTGAAATCAATGAACTTGAGAAAACAATACAAAGGATCAATGAAATAATAAATAAAATTGATAAGCCCTTAACCAAACTAACCAAAAGAAAAAAGGTAGAAAAACTAAATTAATAAAATTAGAAATGAAAAAGGAGAAAACACCCAAACATCTCATAAATCCAGCAGATTATTAAGGACTATTTTGAAAACTTATGTTCTAATAAATTAGAAAACCTAGAAGAAATGGATACATTTCTAGGCAAATATGATCTGCCAAAACTGAATAAGAGGACAGAAAACCTAAACAGATTACTAACTTGTAACGAGATACAAGCAGTAATAAAAAGCCTTCCAACAAAGATAAGCCAAGTACCAGATGGATTCTCAGCTGAATTCTACCAAATCTTTTAAATAAAAACTAATGCCAATACTTCTCAAATTATTCCATGAAGTAGAAGGGGATGAAACACTTCCAAATTTATTCTATGGAGCCAGTATCACATTCACACCAAAAACAGATAAGGACATATCAAGGAAAAAAACACTACAAACTAATATCCCTGATAAACTTAGATGCAAAAATAATTAATAAAATATTAGCAAAACTTGTTCAACACCATATTAAGAAGATTGTACACCATGACCTAGTTGGTTCTATCTCAAAGATGCAAGGATTATTTAATAGACACTAATCAATAAATGTAACTCATCACATTAACAGAATTAAGGACAAAAATCACTTAGTAATCTCAAGAGATACAGGGAGAGATTTGACAAAATTCAACACCCATTAATGATTAAAAAAAAATCACTGAAGAAACTAGGGGTAGAGGAACCTACCTCAGTATCATAAAGACTATGTATGAAAGACCAAAAGCCAACCTCACTGTCAATGGCAAGAAGCTGAAATCATTTCCTTTAAAATCTGAGGCAAGATAAATATGTCACTCTTGCCCCTCCTATTTAATATAGTGCTAGAAATTCTGGCCAAAGCAATTGGTCAAGAGAAGGAAATAAAAGGGATAAAAATGGGAATGGAAGTCAAATTATCACTTTTTACAGATGATATGACCCTATACCTAGAAGATCCAAAAAACTTCACCTGAATACTGCTGGAGCTAATAAACGAAACTGGCAAAGTAGCAGTTTACAAAATCAGGTTACAAAAATCAATAGTGAAAAATGAATCTGTTGAGAAAGAAATCAGAAAAAAAATTACATTCACAATACCCACCCCCAAAATACCTAGGAATAAATCTAACCAAGGAAGTGAAAAATCTTTACAAATATAGAGCATTTAAGAAAGAAATTGAAGACAACCTCAAAAGGTTGAAAGAACTCCCATGTTTATGGATAAAAAGAAAAATACTTGTTAAAATGGCCATACTGCCAAAAGCAATATACATATTCAATGCAATCCCCATCCAAATACCAATGACATTCTTCATAGAACCAAAAAAAAAGTCTTAAAATTAATTTGGAAGAATAAAAGACCCAGAATAGCCAAAGCAACTTTAAGCCAAAAAAAGCAGTGCTGGAGGAATAATAACACATGACTCCAAATTATACTTCAGAGCTATAGTAACAAAAACTGCATGGTGTTGGCATTAAAATCAGTCACATAGACCAGTGGTACAGAATAGAAGACACAGACACAAACCAGCACAGATACAGTCATCTGATCCTTGACAAAGGTTTCAAAAACACACATTGGAGAGAAGACAACCTCTTCAACAATAGTGCTGGGAAAACTGGTTATCCATATGTAGAAGAATGAAATTAGACTCTTCTCTCTCAAAAACCCTAAACACAAAACAACTCAAGATGGATTAGAGACCTCAGAATTAAACCAGAAACTATACAACTCCAAGAAGAAAATGTAGGGTCAACACTCCAGCATATAGGCACAGGCAATGACTTTCTCAATAGAAATCCTAAAGCTCAGGAAATAATGCCAAGAATTAATAAAGGGAACAATATCAAATTAAAAAGCTTCTGCACATCAAAGAAAACAATTAGGAATATGAAGAGAGAATCCACAGAATGGTAGAAAAAATCTTTGCTATCTACTTTCCTGACAGAGGATTACTATCTAGAATATATAAAGAGATAGAAAAACTTTACAACGAAGAAAATAATGACCCAATTAATAAATGGGAAAATGAATTAAACAGACACTTCTGAAAAGAAGAAATACAAATAGCCCACAAATACATGGAAAAAATGTTTGACACCATTAGCAATCAGGGAAATGCAAATCAAAACTACACTGAGATTTGATCTCACACCAGTCTGCATGGCAGTTGCCAAGGTTACAAATAATAATAAATGTTGGAGAGGATATGGAGAAAAGGAACATTTTACGCTGTTGTTGGAACTGTAAATTAGTAAAACCACTAAGGAAATCAGTATGGAGTTTCTTTAAGAAACTAAGCATGGAACCACCATATAACCCAGGTACACCACTCCTTAGTGTTTATCCTGAAGAATTAGTCATCTTACTACAGTGATACATGTATACTCATGTTTATGGCAGCACAATTCACAATAGCCAAACTATGGCTAGGCTAGGTGTCCGTCAATGGATGGCCAGATTAAAAAAAATGTGGTATAGATATACAATGGAGTTTTATACAATCATAAAGAAACATGAAATTGTCACATTTGCAGGAAAATGAATGGAACTGGAGACCATCATGTTAAGCAAAATAAGCAAAACTCAGAAAGTTAAGGGTCATATGTTTTCTCTCACATGTGAAAGATAGAGAGAAAAAAGGATAACAAAGTTAGGGGTGGATCTCCTAAAAATCCAAAGGAAATCAGTGGGGGAAAAGGACCAAGGGGTCCCATATACTAATATGGAACAACAAATCCCATGAATATGTAACAACAAACCCCATCAATAGGTACAAATTTAATGCCCCAATAAAAAATGTGGAAAAATATAAATAATCATGTATGAGTTATTGATTTACAAATGATGTTTTCTTCATTTTGAAAATAAGTTAAACATTGTTCTCTATCCCTTTTATTTGTGACTACATTTAAATCAAAAGAAACAAAAAGTAGGATGTTTGGTGTACCCATCTTTATATACATTGTTTTTTTTTAGTCCAGTAAGTAGAAAAGGTAAAAAAAAAAAAAAAAGTAATGTGAAATCTAAGCAAAAGAAAAAGTAATGTGAAATCTAGCAAAACAGAAACATTCCCAAAACAAAAGCTATCATTTTTATGTGTCTTATGTTCTGATCTTTTCTTTCTCCCATTTTAACCCCTTTTGAATTTTTTAAATGACTGTATTTCCTACTAATTTTGTTTTCCTGTTTTAAAATAGCTATTAACAAAGTGGTAACGCAAAAGGCAGGGAAGATTATTGTTATTTTAAAAGTACATATATAATTCCCAAATCATTTTGTTTAATTATTACCTGATTATTTCTGAAGAAATAGTGTTATATTAATTTGGGGTTGCATACTGGTATTTGGGGGGAGGCAGAATTCTATCTTGGATTTTACAATTCTGTAACTTAAACTTTTAATTCTATAATGTACTTATTCCTATACAAGAGAGATGAATCATAACTCTCCTTCAATATTTTTAAGTATAGAGAATTACATATGAATAAATTCCAGCATAGAATATTATTTACTTCATGTTTTACGTTTTATAAACTACTATTTCTTTTTCATCAATAATAGATAGATGCTTATTAGTCCTTGTTCCCTTGAGGTGCCTATTTTAAGTTATTCTTTATCTTCTAACTATCTTATAGTGTTCTTGTAACAATTTTATTAAAAATCATTTGTGATATATTGAAAAGTAGAGCCAAAATGTTTTCCAGCTCCTTTTCCTCAAAGCATTCCACATCTTGATGGATTCTACCTTTCTCAATCTGGTTGGACTTCTGACTTGCTTTTACTAATGGAACATGGCCACATTAACAATTCTTGAGTCTTGACCTCAGAAGTCTTACTTTGGAAAGCACATGGAGAAAGAGATCCAGCTAAGACTCAGTCAGCATCAGACCCAGATGTGTAGGAGGGTCATTTTACACATTTCATTCACACTTCAGCTACCATATGATTACTGCCCCAAGACTTCAAGCAAGACCAATAGAACTGTCCAGCTGAGCCCAACCAGCCTATAGCACTGTGGGAAATAATATTTCATTGTTATTTTAAATCACCAATCTTTTCAGTAGTTATGCAGCAAAAGTTAACTGATGGAATGTTTATAAAGAATAAGACTTGGGTATATAGAAGGCACTCAATAAGGGTTAGTTCTGATCATTTATTTCTCTATTTTCTGTTTTTGTATGCATACGTGGTAATTACTCCATTGATTTAAAACAATTTAAATGTCTCTCTTGTGTGTAGATTCCATCAAAAGAACTCAGGAAATTCAGCAGACATCTAAATAGACTAGACAGTTTTATTTTAATGTAAGTCTTTATGAATGAAGAAAATGTGATTTCATAGTTTGAACATACATATAATGTACAAGTTATAATTATCTTGCAAGGAAAATAAAACATAGCAGTAGGCTAAATGAAAAAGAAAATAATGGAATAAAAGTGTTGAAGCTTTTGGTGACAGAGTAACTTTTTTTTGCCAATTGTAAGTTCCCACATGGAAATACATGATTTAGGAGAAAAATGTAAAAAATGACATTTATTATACTCAAAAGTGACCTATATAATAATGAATTCAATATTTAATATTATGTATATATTTAAATTTTATTGGTGCAATATCATTATACATATTAGTGGGATTCATCATACCATATTCATATATGTATATAAATTAATTAAAATACATGCAATTGGGGCTGGGGATGTGGCTCAAGCGGTAGCGCGCTCGCCTGGCATGCGTGCGGCCCGGGTTCGATCCTCAGCACCACGTACAAACAAAGATGTTGTGTCAGCCGAGAACTAAAAAAAAAAAAAATAAATATTAAAAAATTCTCTCTCTCTCTCTCTCTCTCTCTCTCTCTCTCTCTCTCTCTCTCTCCCACTCTCTCTTTAAAAAAAATAAAATAAAATAAAATAAAATAAAATAAAATACATGCAATTTGTTTCCCTAAAAAACTATTCCTGAACAGGAAGGAAGGAGTGGACATATGAGCAAAGGAAGTTTGGGTCCACAATCCCATATGGTTAGAAAATGCAATATTCTATATTGAGCCTCTCCCTGGAGTTTCATAACTAAGATATTAAACCCTAAGAAGTCTTTGACAAGGGAAATCTGTATGACTGCTAGTTTAACATAGAATTTCTTTGTAACAGGCTGTAGAATACACTTCAGGAGAATATTTTTCAAACTGAAGATCATAAGCTATTAGTGGACTTCAATTTAGTAGGAAATACAGTCATTTAAAAAATTCAAAAGGGGTTAAAATGGGAAAAAGTAGAAAAGATCAGAACATAAGACACATAAAAATGATAGCTTTTGTTTTGTGAATGTTTCTGTTTTGCTATATGCATATGTGCATTTATGTGTGTGATACACTATGATATAAAAAGTATTAATTACGATTCAGGATAAAAATATTTATCTTTTTGCCTTTTAAATGAATAAAACTTAAAAATAATCAGGTGATGCTCTGAATATAGTTTTTCAAGGAAATAACATTTATTTAGTTTGTATGAATAATTTGGAAATTTATTGTTTACATGATTAAGTAAATGAATTTTTGAATATTTAGGGCCATTTTCTCCATTATAAAAATTGGTGGCAGTTTGATTAAACTTTTCAGTTTTATGTTTACCATTAGATATAAATGTGGATACTAAAATCTGTGAAGAGGAATCAACTAACATCATTTCAAGATTTCATTATAATTAGCAAATCTAAGCCTCAAAACGATTACGAATAGGACTCAGACTTCTCTAACTTTTGTGTCCTTGATCTCATCATTCAAACGGATCAGTTGGAATTGAATAATGTATTTTGAGGCTCCGTAGAGAGGTTCAGATTTTTTCTATGTACTTATAAGCAAGTTTTTTTTCATCAAGTGGGAAATGTTCTTGAACAATGCACACTTCTACCTCTCATCCTACCTATACTGTCTCACCTATGTGCTCAGCATGACCACAAGGTCAGGCTGAATGAGATCATTGAGAGTTTGTGAGGGTAATTTTAAAATACTTGAGAATGAAGGCAATATTAAGGAAAAGGTTATTATGTTCAAAGGGAAGTTGCAGCATTATAGCAAGTGCAGTTCATTATTTTTCATAAAATGTTTTCTCTGGATATGAACACAGAAGATGATATATTGATTAAACAGCTAGATTTGGATGTATCCTTTATCCTAGAAACTATGGTAAAAAAAATGTTTCAATCCCTGATTATTACTGACCTCTAATTACAAGTACATATACTTTAAGTATTTGACTAATTTAGAAGGTACTCTTCTGTGTTGTCAATAAAACACTTGTGCATTGTCAATCTTCCATATTTCTGATATGGAATTGAACTGGCAGATGAGCGTTTCTTCTTACGTATTCTTGTCACTGTGTCCCTCCTTATATAAATTACCAAAGCAGTCTACAACTCATAATAATTTGAATATAAATGTGTTTCAGTCAGACTAGAAGTGAAATGATTAAGTAAATTTTTACTTTAAGGATTTAGTAGTACCAAAGAGGGTCTGGTTGACATCCTATCACATTATTATTATTATCCTGGATATGTGCATCTTTTAGAATTACTTAGCTACTTTGGAAGTCTCATCAATTCTAGAAATAAGATAATAAATACCACTCCAGATTCAAAAGAAAGAATTCCAATTACAAATCAAGTGAACAGCTTAAATGTTACATCAGGGCTTCAACATTCTATCATGGTAGATAACTATTAACTTAAAGATAACAGGTTTGAGGCAAACCTACCATGATGTCAATTCATTCTGCTGTAATATTTGCAGTGTCTGATGAAGTGTGTCCTTGGAATTATAAGCATTTCTCTCTTGATCATTCTTCTTTATTGTACTTTTTCTTGAAAACTGTAGTTAATATATCCATCTGATTTACAATTTCATTTTGATAGTAATGATAGTCTTGCTTGCTTTGTGATGCTTTAGTGATGTCAGTGTTGGCAGACTGAACCCAGTAAACATGGCATTTTCTCAGTGTCCCTCGTGGATCATACTCCTATACCTGTTGTGTTAAAATTTTAGGTTAAAATGTTATACATACATTGTGATTATAAGAAATTCCAGTGAGGAACTCACAGAGGGTAATTTTGAGGCAATTATACTGAATGTCATGAATTCCACAAAAGTTTCTTGAAATGTTCATAAGCTTTTCTTATGTGTAGAGATGTCAGAACTCTCTCACAAGTTTGAATTTAGCACATAGACAAAAAGGTTTGTGAAACACAGCAGATTAATCTATTCATTCTGTCATCTTCCTTCTTTCTTTCTCTCTCTCTCTTTCTTTCCTTCTTTCGGTGCCAAGGATTGAACCCCGGGGTGCTTAACTACTGAGCCACATCCCCCATCCTTTTTTATTTTTTATTAGAGACAGCATCTCTAAGTTGCTTAGGGCCTCAATAAATTGCTGAAGTTAATTTGGAACTTGCAATCCTCCTGTCTCAGCCTCCTGAACTGCTGGATTACAGGTGTGTGCCACCACGCCCAGCTCACTTGGTCTTCTTTTGCACCGTTTAGAATAAGTTCTTTTTGTCAGACCCTTAGAACCTAAAATTTAATGGTTACAATAAAGCCTATGATAAATGTGAAAATTCCTGAATTTCCTACTATTTATGGTGCTACCTGGGGAAATATGTGGCTTCATAACCATTCAGATCTAGTAGAAATGATACCAAAATTACTTTCATCTATTTCTTTAGAATTTTTATGACCCTGTTTTTTAATGGTTAGATGAACATCTTTTATTTAGAATAATACATTATTTAAGTAGCACTCAAAAATATTAACTAAAAGTAATTTCAATATGCCAGAACAGGACTTTTGAGTTCAGTAGGCCAATGCAATGAAGAAGCCAGTCAAGAGAGGCTGGAACTAGGAAGCTGAGAGGTAAATGTGCCCACTGTTGGGAATCATGCACTGGAGAACAACACAGAAATTGCAAGGCGTGGAAATCCGATGCTGGGGTTATGGTAATTCAGATAATGGGGGTTATGGTAATTGAGATATTGGGCTTATGGTAATAAATGATAGATGGCAGTGATCAGGTAGTTTCCAAAGTGATAACAGGTAATACAGTATCAGAGAAATAATAATAATAATAAAAAAGCAACAGACACTCTATACGTAGAAAATTGGCAGAATAATTTGTAGTTGACCTACTCAGTAAACATTTGCTAAGCAGCCACTGTATTGTGGAAAATATAAAACAGACTATTACTGATCTTTCAAGGCCAAAATCATACCTAGGAAACCAGGTGAGTAAACAAAAATGATGATACTATGCGAACTGACTAAAAACAGGGCTTAAATTAGAGAGCTATGTAAATATATATGGTCCGTGTTGCTGGGTATGGATTCAAGAACATAGTCTCAGATCTAAAGAGTAGATGCAAGGACACAGAACTGTCCTAAAGGAACTATATGGTCATCCAAGATCAAGGTTCAAGATAGACTCTAAAGCATGGAAAAATAACATAGGAACCCAAGTGAAACAAGTGGATTTAAGGCAGGCACTGGTTACAGAAACAAGGCAGAAACCCAGTTACTAAACCAAGAGATCAGGATGGATCAGCAATAAAGCCAACTCTCTTCTGTCCCTTCTCAGAAGCTGAACTTAGCTGTGTCAAGTCCCTCCCATTAGTGGAAACTTGGATCCAAATCCTACAATGTTCTTTTGAAAATGAATAAAAAATACAGCTGGATTAAAGGAAAAATGACTGAATAACTCACTAAAAATATGTTGGCAAATAGACTCAAAATTTCCATGTCCAGAAGTGAGGTATGGGGTATGGCAGCACCTGGCCCACACATGCCATTCAGCATTGTTATAAGTATTTAGACAACACCAAATAATAGAAATAAATAAGTCAAACTTACCAATGATTCAAAGACAAATATAAGTGTATAGCATCTGATACAAAAAGATCCTTAGCAACACAATCAATGCATTTTATCTAACAAGAAGATAATGAACACCAAACAGGTGAGTCAAACAGCACCAACCAAAAGATATAAGTGAAGAGGTATTATGTATCAGGAACACATGAACAATACTTAGTTGATTTACCATATTAGCTGACAGGCATTCACCAGCCATATATAATGTAGTTATCTAAAATCCTTCATTGATAGATTGATAGTAACTGTTATTGCACCAATAATAGATGGTGCAGTCCCAGAAATGCAAGGTCTGAGGTCCAAACTATGCATAGAGAAATTAGCATTGGAGAATAGAAGTATCTATAAGTGACAAAGGAGGCAAAGATGAGAGGTATATAATCCAACAATAGCATAAGAATTAAAGGAAGATGGATATGATATTTTAGCAATCAAGAGGGAAGTAGGAATGCACTGGTACCAAATACTGCATTTCAAATCCAAAACTTCCCATTTCACCATTAAAATATGAGTACAATAAATTGAGGGCAACTTTTGAATTACATTATTATGTACTTTGAATGTTGTAACAAAGGTTGCTTAATGTGCTTAGGTAACTTCTTTTTCTTTTTCTTTTTTTTTTTATTAGTTGCTCATGACAATACAATGATCTTGACATATCATACATTTGAATCAAATGGTAACTTCTTTTCCAAGTATAGAAAATTTTTTAAAACCTAAACACATACCTTAAATGCACAGGGTTAGCAAAGATCTCGAGGCCAACAAAATCATGTACTACCAGTGATGATTTGTAATTGCTGTTCTTATAAGCGTATCTCCAATTTTACTTATGCCACTTTTAAGCTATCATTAGTAGTGAACTGTGGGATAGGACATGGATATCAAAATCCAAGAATGGCAAACTCGCAACAGTGAACAGTACTTCTCATGACAAATGTTGCTAGGCTGGACCTATCCTGAAAACAAAGAGCAAGAATCCAACATCTAGAAATTGTACAGATGACCAAGGCCAGATACATCTTCAAAACCACATTGAAGGAATAGCATTGAGTGAGTAATGGTATGATTTGATGGGAAGAGCCCCAAGTGGAGTGACCACCAATCTTACTGCTCCTAACCACCACTCATTAGCTATGTGACCTTAAACAATCACAGACAAGATCCTGACACAGGGCAGGGACATAGTAAATGTGATATGGTAGAATGAATGAATAATCCTAACTTCTAAGGCACTAATTTCCTCAAGTTCAAAATGAATTGGTTGAATTAGATGACAATGAATGTGGCCTCTAGTCTAAACTTTTCAGAGTCTCTCCCATGGCATGGGTTACTCAGACACCTTAAGACCCAGCCATTACCAGTTCAGGCCACTGAAGCCAGATGGAATGGGAACTTATTTCATAATGTGTTCCCAAGGAGAACAGAATGAAAAATAATCTCAGTCCAGCAATTGCCACCCTACAAACATGCTTATTTTGTGTTGTTTTGAGCATTGAAACCATTTATCTATTGTTCTGAGGTATACCTGCATGCAGACAGCCACAAGGCTTCAATTGCATAGTTTCAAAGTACAGATACTTATGATCATGCTGTCAATAACATATGAGCAAAATATTTAAGCGTTCATGTGTTTTTATTTTTCTTCACTTTATTTGTATAGTTCATGTATCAACCTGGCTTTCATTCCCTCTTCTTTGAAACCATAATATTTATTTTTGTTGAAATAATTTTCTGCTTGGTTTGAAAATATACTTTAGTAAGCATTAATACAAGTTAGGGGTTCGGTTTTAATGAAATCTTAAGGCAAAATAAAAAATCTTAAATCCAGCATGATTTACTTCAGAAGCATAGGTCAAATATCACACTCCTCAGGGAAATCTTTTTCCCACCATTCTTTCCTTTACTCCTTAAACATTTTGACCCTCCATTAAAGTTACAATATTAGGTGTCACTAAAACAAATAGCTTTTTTCTAGTCTCTATTGAGTCTTCCTTTCTGCTTTAACTTCTTATCTCACTTCCATCCCATCCCCATCTCCTTCATCTATTTCCATTATTTCTTCCTTTCACTCTTCCACCAGGATTTTAAGATTACAGGTTTCTGGGGCCCAACTGCCTGGGGTCAAATCCCAAACCCAGCCCTTACTAGATGTGACTGTGAGAAAGTTACTGAGACTCTCTGCACATCGGTCTTTACACTGGAAAGTGGGTGACAATATTTAATAATAGTTACCAATCTCAAAAGGTTGTTTTGAAGATTTAATGAGTTAATATTTTCAAAACCTTCACAATGATGAAAACATGTACAATGATGCCTAAAGCACACCAGTTTCACAATGGATACCTAATATTGTTGTCATTACTTCTTAAACATGCACTTGCCTCCTCTGAGTGCCTTGTTCTGCTCAAGATGCTATAGGGTTTCCATCCCCATCACTATTGGTTGTTCTTGGTGTACTTGACACCCACTTCCTCCAGTCGTATTCATATAGATATTGAAATGATCAAGAAATTATGTAAATATAACATTTCCCAGTACCATCCACCACACCCTGCCCTTCTCCTTTAGCTTATAAGGAGATAAAGCATTCTCAACATCTGCCTTCAACAGTAAACCTTTAAGGAAAGAGCTATAATTCACAGCCATGTATCTATTTGTGGCTCTGATTCTTTGTATCACCTGTGTTAAAATATCACAATATTTCAGCTGTTAATTGAAGCACTCTGGCGTCTTGAGTTATTTTTATAGTCAACTTGAGATGTCATGTGATAGTTCAGATTCATGGAAGCTGTGAGTCAGAAATTCTGTCTCTAGTTATGGTTATAACTTTTAACATGTGCTAACATGTGATATCTATAGATCATGTGACCTGTACTTATTTCTAAAATGGGTATTTGAAACACTGAACTTTGGTCATGGTAGTAACACTTTATGCTAAATAAAAGAAACACTTTAGTCTCGTAATTTTTTTTTTCCTCCTGGTACCACATGTCTTAATAAAAAACAGTCATTCTAATGTTTTTCAGATGTCTTCAGAAAACCAAGGGTATTGAACTAAAATAAGCAAATACTAGGTGAAATAGGTTTAGCAACCTTTACAAGATT